GCACTGGATCAGGGCTCGAGGAGGAAGGTCCAGCTGAAGATGCCACGTCCACCTGTTTTCCACCCAGCACAGTGAGCCACGATCATGATCCATTTACCAATGCTGGCAAAAGAGAGTATCTTCCCTCTGCTTCTGTGTGGTGATGCAAATCCACTTTCAGCAGGGATCTAAGCTGGTGGTCTGATGTGTGCACTGCCGGAATAAGCGCACATGCCTTCTGCTTCCATGCTGCAGCAGCAAGCAGCTGGGCAGGGCAGCAGCCTCAGCTGGTTGTCACAACCTCCCATGAAGTTCTTACCCCTAGGGATTGTTGAGGGCTATGCTGAATGGCTAAATTTCAGCAGTGCATGGAGATCTCCTGAAAATTGCTCTGGGTGACCTGCTGCTAATAGCCACCTGCAATATTCCTGCTCGTCTCTCCCACAGCGTTCTCCTTCGAAGAGGAGAGAGCATCCAATGAATTGCCTGACACATGTGCAGTGTACAATTTGAAGCACTTTTATTTATTTAGAGGCACTTCTGAGCATCTTATATAACATTAATGGATTTATCTTTAGCTTTCCCCTCTAGTCTCAGCAACAACGTGAAAGCATCACTGGGGGAAAACGGCAGAGACCTCCGAGTACTTTGCATGTTTACTTTTTATGTACTTTTTTTTTAAAACATAGAAATGTTTGAAACAACTTTGGAAAGGAATTAACCAGTTCTTTCTGTATCAAATATAGTACTTTCAGTTCTAGTCTCTTCTTCTAGAGCAATTTTATTCTAAGCTGACCCAAACCGAAATCTCTTTTCCTTCCAGATTTGCCTTCTAGTAAAAAAAATACATCATCTGAACAGCTTTAGTGATGTTACTGGTATTTTCCACACAGAAATATTGGCTCCAGAGGGGCTGGCGAATTGCCCATCAACCCCTGGGAAATGTGTGGTGAAGAAGTGCAGGTCCTTGTGAATATCTTAAACACAAGATCACACACTCTCTCACATCAAGTGCCAGCTGAAATGGAAAGAGAAACAGAGAAATGGAGCATAAATGAGATAGAAAAAGATGAAATCAGTAATGTCCCCTTGTGCAGAAAACAAACAGTATAGATGAGCAAGGAGACGGCTGCTACGGAGCAGAAAACCACATCAGCAGAGAATGAAAATGTTCTTCCACTCTTGGGGACTGCCATGCGGAAAATAAGCAAAGTAATAAGTGCGAAAATGGAGTAAATAACCACCACACAAGGATTACGTAGGGCAGCTGGGGTAAGGGGATGGTTAAGGTCACCTTCAGGCTTTAAGGATATGAAAGGCTGGAATGGAAATGGCAGGATAGGGGTGAGTGCGGTGATCACGGCAGAGCCCTGAACTCAGCAAGGCCACTCGGGTTCAGTGTCAAGCACAGATTCAAAAACGTGTGTTTTGCAGGATCAGACCCTTATTCAGATGTATTTATTCTAAAATTATCAAACTTGACCCAGCAAAAGACTAATTGAAAAACCTATTGTGGTCCAGTAAACATCCATCTCGATTGAAGATATCTTCCCCTTTAATAGGGAAGTGAGCCTGGATGTCTCACTGCTACATTGCAACATCTGCTCAGATGAGGATGCTTGGTTTCATGCAGGAATGTGTTGTCTCTGCTGGCTGGACCCCATGGTGAGAAAAGGCACATTACAGATCCGTGGGCCCAGGCTTTGCTTGTGGGGCAGTACTGAACATTCCTGGCTTGTACTACCTGAGAGTTGAGAACACCTCTGAGGTGCAACATCTTTTGGATTCTAGGATGAGTGAGATGAATTGACCTTAAAGGAAGACTGTCTTGCTACTGACAATCCAGGAAGCTGGAAGACTAGCGTGGGATGGATATGCCACTTTTATCTAGCTGAAGTTAGATGAAATGAACCCCACTGATAACTCTACAGTTCCTTTGACTCATTCAAAAGAAAACCCAATCAGGTTAATTGTCTCCTTAAGATAAATCTAGAAAGTTTTGACACAGTAACACCAAGTAGTACCTTCACTACTATTTTACGTAGGTTCAGGTAAGACAATCATCTTTCTGCTCCTCAAAAGCAAGCTTTGAGGGATGAGAGCTTTCAATTCATTTCTACTAGAAGGAACTTCTCATCAAGAAAATGTAGGGAATAACTTTTTTTTGACTAATTGACAACAAAGAAGAAAAGGGAATTGCCATCTACAATTAACTAATGTAATTGTATAAAGAAAACAAAGCCAGACTGTTCCAACAGATACACACTGGAAGGACAACAAGGACTGGATGTAAGCTGAAACAAGGGATATTTTGACTAGATATGAGGCAAAAAGTCCTTCCCATGGGAGTATTGAGGCACTAGCACAGGATTCCCAGAGAGGCTCTCTCATCTGCATCCTCGGACATTTTAAAAACTTGATGGGACCTTGAACAATCTGACCTATCTTTGCAGTTGACTGTCCTTTGAGTAGGGGAAGGACAATGTGACACTCAGAGGTCCTTTCTCACTGGAATTGTTCTGACTCTGCAATCCTACGTAAAACCAGGATTGATGTTTTGGTGTACAAGGAGAGGTGCAGCAGTGTAAGGTCTCATGAGCAATCATCAAGTATTTGCATCAACAACAACCAAGTGAAAGACATACCTGAAAAAAATGAAGATGGCAGACAGACAGACATGTGGGACACACAGGAATCCATGGATCAGCACAGTAGACTGACACTAGTGAAAAAGTATGGAGCTGTACCAGTTACACAAGTATCTGGTAATTTGAACTCATCAGAAACACAAATCCTTATGGTGTTCCAAAGCCCAAGGCTATTACCAGCTAATGAAATCGGTCTGGATTGGAAAGGGGGTCACCATGGCAGATGGGGGATGGCAAAAGAGTGTAAGACATACTTCAAAATGTACTTTGGGATAAGCACCCTTATTGGTAATTGCAGCCAATATGAAATAAACTCTGAAGGGGAGAGGACAGACTGTTCAACACCTATCTGCAGAGACTTTGCAGCTTGGCACAAGGGTAAACACGTTCCTAAAGAGCACAGAGTGGAGCAAATAACGTGGAGCAAGTCACGTGGAGTAAATAATCTGCTTGGACAAATCTGCCTTTCATTCTCCTTATGGGATGGCTGCCGGCAGAACAAACTTTCCCTAGCTTTATTCAATTAACTGCTTCATGATTACTTTCTCCCTACGGCAGGATCCCTAACACTTCAGACCTGCTTTTTGGCATGCAAGCTCTGTTAATTAGCTGTGCAAAGAGGTACAAAGCAGAGAGGCTACTTAGGTAGTGTTGTTTCTATTCCCTGCCTGGATTCTGGGTCTGATCCCAGGCTCTATAGAATTTGTTTTTATTTATCTTTGATCGGTGAAAGCCAGAGGTGCTACACAGATTTTTATGACTTAGAATGAGACAGCATCACTAGAGGTGAGGAAATACTGATTTACCTGGCCTCTTTAGGCCAGCTCACAGTTTGTGGTACGGAAGTCTGCAGGTGATCTGTGTTTTGTTGGGGTGGCTTAAAATATTGCCACCCAACATGACTTTGTTGGTCCCCTAAATGTTGTTGCTTGGGTGCAGGGGAAACAGAGGGGGACATAAGCCTGCTCCTCATGCCACTCCCAATCCATTTCACAGGCCTTGGTGGGTTTATGGAAGGAGTTTGCATCAGTATGTCAGATTGAAGATGCCACAGAAATGCTGGTACATGTTCCCTTTCACCGCCTTGGCTGTGGGAACACAACTCCCAGCAGCGGCCCGGCAGGCATCGGGATCAGGAATGTCCTGTAGCAAGCTTCACCAGAGGGTATCTGACAGCAGCCTGAGGCATCAGCCCTGGAAAAATGTTTTGTTGACATTTAAGGTTTGTTGGCTTGGGGGAGATGTTTGCGTTTCATTTTCTCTCCTTGCATTCCTACAAAATAGCTGTGATGTGGTCAGGGGCTTGTCTGGCTCATTTAGTTTCTTCTCTGCCATCATTCTGGCACATGTTTTTTGGGGACCTCTTTACCTCCGTTGAGTCAAGCAATATCCCATATAAATATTTCCCTCAAGTTATGTACCCAGGTTTAGACCTCTCATTATCTGTGCTTTGGGGAGACATGTTTTGCACAGCCACACGTCAATCAGCAGGATGCAAACTCAAAGGCAGCAATGCAGCAGGAGCGTGTTCCTTATAAATAGGGATGTGTTTACTTGCAGGCAATTAATGGCTGTGCCCAGGTGAAGATACAAAGTGTGGCAGGAAAACAGACACAAATGCTTGCAGTAATTCACCATCGCTTCAGCCGGTTCCCCTCTTACAGCCCAACCTTTAGTCCAATTATAATTCCTGCCTGGAATCTCAAGGGCCTAAATCATATGGGAATTATAACAGCTTTAAAAATAAAACACTGGGTTTCTTCAGCCACAGAAAATATTTCAGAAAAGAGACTCAAAAATGTTAAGGTCACGCAAGGCTGTACAAACATAACCAGTGGTTTGTAAATAACTGATTATAATTTTCTTTCAGGCTGTTGGTAAAAGATGAAGGCATTATCAGAAAACAGATCTGAAGCCAGCTTAATCTCCAGGAGCTTCATAAGGCAACTGGAGATAATTTAGTGTTGCAGCTAAACACGAGTTTACTGGTGAGGTATCTCTTAATAATTTTTAAGCTTTTAATGATTTTTTAATAATAAATGATTAGAAAACAACATCCCATTTCACAGATAAATCCAGGCTGCATCTAGGTATTTTGCCTATTTGCTGCTTTAACTAAAGCAACTTTAATTTGCCAGAGGCCAATCAACAGCGTACAGCAAGAGAATTCAGTCTGATGAAGCAGATGTTGGGGAAGGGAAGACCTTTTCTTTACTCACTCATAGGGAAAATTAATTGATGCTGAAAGCAGCCTTTCAGCATTTTTTGTAATAGTAACTTTCGCTTCTTGGCTTTTACAACATAGAAGAAATTTGCAGATTAAGTAGCTTCTGAGTTGTTTTTCATGGAAAAGGACCTTGATGCTCTCTACAGGCAAGTCACGCAGTGGGTTGCAGCCAGCTCCCGTCCTGCCTGACCCGTAATTACAGCTCAGGCGCTCCGGTAAGACCTGTGCCACCTGGTGTTTGCAAATAGCTGAGTGTTGAAAGACGAGTAAGAAGCTAGTCCAGCACACTGCAGTCAAGAAATCCTACAACCTAAGTCCGGTTTTGTGGATAACTTGTTTCCCTGGTGGGGAATGACCTTACCTCTTGGTGGGTATCACCACACTTCCCCAAGATCCATCCAGTGAACATTCCTGAGTTCACGGGCAAAATCAGGCTGAGGTCCCTGGAGATCATTCAGTGATGACTGACTCAATGCTCTGAGCCCAAGCTACAGCTAATGGTGACAGAGAGTTTGCTGTGCTTACCTCTGTACCCAAAACTGCTTTTCCCCTCTGTGTACAAACACAACCTTTGAGCTCCCCGACGGCACTGGCAGGCTGCCCGTCTCCTGCTCTGCTCGCCCCAGGAGCTGAGGTGCGAGAAAGGCCGGAGCTGAGACGCAGCAGAGGCTGGATACGAGCCCGTCTGAGCCTAGCAGCTAAACAGCTGCATTAGGTGAGTGCTGTGCCTGAACTAATAAACCCTGCAGGAGACAGGATCTCTTCACTGCAGCATCCTGCCGAGGCGATGGGCTTCATCTGCCTCTGAACCCGACAGGCACATCCACGTGCCACAGCAATCCATCGGGCCGCTGGAGCCACGGCAGGGGGATCAGCTAGCTGGGATGCTCTGCAGGTGCCTATGCCTCTGTAAATGAGGTGAGGGACGATGTTCTTCGACATCAGTTAGGTATTTTGGGATGGAGGCCAAAACAGTCAAATCTCCTGCTGTAGATTAAGCTGCTGTATATGTGTGAGGGACCCATCTGCAAAACTGGTCCTGTTGCCATGAACACTGTGAAGCCGCTGATCCTTTTGGTGTCAACGAGGCTGGGGGGATATGCTCTTCTGGTCTCATGGTCGGGCTGTAAATATCTAAGATCCAACATAAGGATGCTGAAGCTTAATTGTAACCATCAAAGTTTCTTTTTTTTTTTTTTACCTTAATCCCTTAATGATGATTGTACTGCAAGTAGAAAATATAAAGCATTTCAGAAGCATTAAGTAATACTTAGAGGGCTCATTAATCCAGAGTTAATATGCAGCCACCACTGAGAGGGAATGAAGCAATCATGCCTCCTCAGCATTACGCAGCACGCTGTCCCCACTGCCTTCAGGAGGGAAGCGGAGGATGCCCGCTCCACCTGGGACTGCAGGAGGAGGCGGAGGTGGACGAAAGATGATGGTCTGAGGTAGACACCATGAGGCATGTGTCCTCCTTTGTCATAGTGCATTAGGGTTTTGGGGCAGATCTGTGCCAATGTTTTGACTTTTTCCCTAACAAGTACAGCAAAGTTGGCACTTTTTACTGCCAGCTTCCAACAAGAGTAAAATTCAGCCACTTAGGTCAAGGTTGATGGTACTGTTTTGGAAAAATGGGTGTCATTGCAGCACTCTGTGCTTTTCTTTGGCAAAGGCAAAATCTTTGGGAGGTCAATCATAAATCATTTAGGCTTCACCACACCAATGGCCTGAGAAAAAAAAATGTGTGCGAGAATTCGCCAGCCTTATCTTCACTGATAAACAGTGGTTCTGCATGCACATCAGCAATTAAACCATACCTCGTTCAGTCCCAAGCACGATGAGTTCCCAGAGCCGAAGCAGAGGCAGAAATCGCAGTGTCTGCAGTACAGCCAGCCAGTCCCGGGAGTTTAATTCCAGGGGGGGTTTACTTCTTGGAGAAAATGTCCTAATGTCATGTTGCAAACAAAAAACACTTGTCAGCTCAATGATCTTCAGGAGGTTCTTAATTGTCAGCAAATTCAAGGGAGTACTGTGCACTGCCTGAGAATAGGGCAAAACAAGAATGGAGGGGCATGTCAGGCAACAGTAGATGTACAGGTACTATGTGGTCAAAGGCAAGGTGTTCATTTATCCTGCCAGGGAACTTAATTTTCCACATACCTGTCACCACAGGAAATGAGTACTGAGGTTGTCACAATCCCAAATGATATTTTTTGGCATGTATTATCTTCACTTCCACAATGCGAGGTAAGGCTGACACCACTCATGTGTTGGCCAGGCTATGGAACCCACTGAATTGAGTCTTGGACACAGTTCAGTGTCATGGCCAAATCTCTAAAACGGTGCTAATCCCATCGACTCTGGGTAGCTGCTTTTGTTGCAAAGCAGAGAGGAGCAAGAGCAGGAAACCTGCCTTTCTGGTGGGTTTGCCTATCAAACCCAGTCCCAAAGCTGAAGAAGGGAAGAAATGCCTGTGCTCAAGGGGGTTCTTCTCTGGACCAGAGCAGCATGGGTGCAGAGCCCCCTAAGGTCCCCGACCTGGAGCTGTGCCCTGTGGCTCACGCATGGGTGCTACCCTGGTGGGAAGTGACCTATGGCATACACACAGCATTGGCAGCTGCCCCAAACATCGTGGCCAGGAAACAGGGGGTGTGGACAGGTCATCCCCAAAATACGACAGCTTGTCCCCTCCTTCCTGCTCTGTGCTGCCCTCATCGTTAATGTGGATGTATCTTCTGTGCCTCCTCTAATCCAGAAGCTATGCCTGGGGAAGCTATAAATGCCATACCATGATGTGATGCTCCTGATTTTCCAGAATTTTTATCTAAGCATAATCCATTGATGTTATTTAATGATCATAAAGCAGCTGCCTTATAGCATCCAAAATACATCTATTTGCCTAATTTACAGTATGGTGATTAACTATCAACAACTTATTTAAAATGTATTCACAGAGTGAAATGTCAGAGATGCATCACTTCTTCATGCCCAGTAAATGCACACACAATAACCGATTCTGTATATAATTACCTTGAGTATGAGCTCACCTCTGAGAAAAATTATTTCAGAGAATGTGTTAGCTATGATGCTTAAGCAGGTTCACAGAGAGAGGACGCACCTGCTGCAGGTCAGCAACAATTTTTTCCTTTATTATGTCGGGGTGTTTTGCTGCTCATACAGGCTTAACGTAGTAATGGCCTTCACATCATTTTTAAGTTAAACTATTAACCACACAGAAAATCAATATGCAATAGAACAACGTTAATTAAGCGAACCATAAATCAGCCCTTCTGTAGACATAGCAGGTACCAGAGACTCTCATAAAACTTCTGGCCTGTCATGATCAAAGAAAGGAGACTGTTACCACGAACAACACATTTCTGTACATCAGATCTGAGTTAAGAGAAACATACATGCTAAAAAATATTAATTGGGAAGGGAAATTGTGTCTGTCAGGACCTAGTAACTGTGTGATCCTTCAAGGATTCCTTCTGCAGTAGCACCCTGACCAAGATGGGAATCGCACAAGCTAAATGGCTCTGCATCATGCTCAGGGATAGAGTCCTCCTGGGAAGTGCAGTGCTGGTCCCCTCAAATAAGGGTCACACCACCATCCCTTGAGATCGCCGAGTTGCTTCTTAGCCACAGACCCCAGGAACAATAGGGCATCATGTTTGTGTGTTCTTCAACCTAAATGAAGTGTGAGTCACAAGACTGAGGATCTTCTGCTGCTCTTCACTGACTTCGTGCACTCACGGCACATTCATCCATCCTGGAGGACAAGCAGCTGGAGGGAGCCTTCGAAGCTGGAGGCAGGGGCAGACAAAAGGAGGGATTCCATTTCAGAACTTCACTGACATAACACAGGGTGAAGATTTGGTGAGGGTACAGTGATATTTTCTTGCCCCCCAGACATAAATTCACATCCTTTAAAGCTAGAAGAGGTTCTTATGGTAGCCTAACCAGTTCAGCTGCACAAATCTGAAGACAAGATCCTTTCTCAGGAGCTTAAGTCCATAACTTCAGCTCCCTGATGTATTTTAGAAAGATCTTTAGTTTGAACACAATGACTTTCATTGATAGAGATCACATGTCTATGGGCAAAATATGATATTTTTAGAAATGGTACTGTCAGCAGAAAAAATGACTACATTTGATTCTTTCGGAAGGGCTTTGGAGAAGCGGGGAAGGGACTGTTGAGTGTTTTCGTTTTCCTGCATGTAATGAAATAGCAGCAACTTGACATCCCATACAAAAGCCTGGAAATTAAGTATCCCCTTCCTTCTTCTTGGGAGAACTTTGATATTCCCACAGAAACGCTGTGTCTATTGCAAAAAAAAAGCTAAAGTAACTTTGCCAGGGGGCAGGGGGTAAGGCAATGAAATAATGCCAGAAAAATCAATCACAGCTGATTGACAATAGAGGTTTGTATTGATTCGGTGGGACTCCCCTTCCCCAGGATAGTTTTGCAACAGCCTTACATCTCCTCGGCACTCCTCACTTCAGCCCGTTCCCTCCACAGTGCCTTTCCCTGTGCTTCCTCCTCTATCAGCATTTGCAGGTGTGGTTACAGCTCATCTCGACTGCTGGATCAGCACTTGCCCTCTGAGGCTTCATGAAAGTCACCCCAGCTTGCAAAGCTACTGACTGGTGCTTCAGCACTCTGTAAAAGCCAACGATGCCTCCACACACCACTTAGCCCCAGCAGCAGAGCCCCAGCTCTCTACACTGCTTTCCCACTGTCGCTGCAGCATCCTCCCCCTGCCCCATTTTGCCAGATCGCTCCTTCACTTTCCCCATGTCACATCCTGACCCATCCAGCTGGTTTTCCCATCAGAGCATCTGCTCCTGCAGGCTCCTGAAACAGCCCTGGTCATCCCACATCAGGGAGATCAGGCTTTCTGCTCCCTCAGCCTCGGGGGTATCAGCCTGGTAGTGTTACAATGCCTTAATGCCCCATTTTTGTTCTAATTAAATATTGAAACTCTTGTTTTAGGGGACTGGATCTTTTTGTACTTTTTTTCTCCCTTTTTTTTTCCCTTTTTTTTTTTTTTTTTTCTTTCTTCTGCGGTAGAGAGGCCATGGCTCATTGGTCTGGAAAATATCATGCTTGTCTTTGGCAAATTGCCAGGTTTTCATAAAATGTTCCTCAAGTAGAAACTCCCGGTCTGCTTATAAATTCTGTTACCTGTGTTATAAAGCTGGAAAAACCAAAGCCTTTCTAAGGTTAAAGCAAGGTCTGCGATGCAGAAAGGAGAAAGCCCCGGTCTCCTCTCTTTTTATTAAGGAGGCGTTCATTCTCAGTAATCCTGTGGAACAAGAGATAAAACCTCTTCTGAAGTCAGGGAGAGTCTCAGGGGATCAGCACTTACAGGTTCACACCTCCCGTCAGCAGAAAGAAGGGTTTTTTTTTTTTGAAGTTGATCAAAATACATCTGATTTTGAAGTTACAGAAAGCCATTAATTATGCTGGTTTTGGAGATAATCAGTCCAGGCACCTGTCACATACAACAAATAGAAATACAGTGCTAAAAAAAGAAGAGAAAAGTAAATGTAATTGATAGTATTTATAGTTCAGAAAAGGTGCCCGTTGAAGGACAGACACTATTCCCTATTTCACCTCAAAGTACGTAAACCAGGAGATTTGTGAGGACATTTCAGCTCCTGATAGGGCTGTTGTGCCAGCCCCAATAGACTAGAAAATAAATTAAGAAAGTTACTTTCAAGTCTGTGCTGCATCGTCTCAAGATTACGTTAAACTTGTTACCCAAATCATAGAAAAAAACGAAGACGCTGTTGGGTCTCCAGGGGCAAAAGCGAAGATTTTATGCAAGGTGCCTTCTGTTTGTCCCTGAGGGCAGCACCTGGACATCACCCACAGGATGCTGCCTTCCAGCTATGCCCCTGCCCATGACAGCCACGGAGGGGAAACCTACAGCAAATGCCTTCTGCTGATTATTTAAGGGGAAGAGGGAAGTTTTGATTGAATTACATCTGTGGTAAAATTTACTTAGGACTAAATTGCAGCTAAATTTTATGCCTATTTCACAATGGGGAGTGCATGGTGCTCATTTCCTTGAGATTTTATCCACTTTTGAACCAGAACTGGAGAATAAGGAGTGGAAGTAGGAGGTGGTTTCAGTGCCAAAAAGGGGACTGGGTTTTGGTCTCCTCTCTTTGGACAGGTGTGGTCATCTCCCTGCAGGGAGATGGGGATCCTGCCCCCTGCAGGATCTGGGGCAGGAGAGGTGTACGATGGAGCTCTGGCAGCAGCAGCTCTGAAGCTCAGCCCGGCTCTTCGGCCATTCTGCAAACTGAGCTCCCTGGAGAGCAACGGGGTAATTGTCTCGCGAGTGATCGAATTTGCATTTTTCTGATCACTCAAATTCACTGCAAAACTGATGATAGTGCAGGGCTTAAACTTTTCTCCTGTCTTTTTCTTTCCCTTAATATAGTGAAGTGGTTCGCTATTAATGGACAGGCATTAAACCGCTTGGCACAGCAAGCACAGCACTGAGAGCAGGAAATGATCATTTCGGGGCCACTGCTAAGAAAACTTGTTGAAATGTCTTGGAGCAGAGAGAAAATCTGGTACTTGGGGATTAATTATCTGGAATTTAATGAGGCCAAAAGCCAGGTAGCAATTAAATGTCTGTAGATGGAGAGGGTAGTTTCGTAATAGACCTCAGCAGTGAGGTTGGCTTTAAAAGTTTCAGCTCTCTCATCTCAGTCTCTTACCAGTATTACCATTTTTGGGGCTGTGCTGTGAACCAGATTGCTGAAGTGATCTGCATTGCAAACTCTTTTGAGGGATCGTATTTGAGCTGTGACATTTCAAAATCAGGCTCAGGTTTCTGCCAAATTGGAGCAACGAAAGACGTACATGTGTGTGTGTGTGCAAGTGTGCACGTGTGCATTTACACACATCGATATAACTGCTCTGCAGAAGTGACGCTTGCACAGAGAAAGTAGAGTATCAAAGTCCGAGACTGGCAGGTCATGTCTATACTGCTAAGTGAAAGAGGGAGAGGAAGCAATCTCTTGTCTGAAGCTAAATGCCAATGTCTTCTTCAACTGGTTAGGGTTAGCTCTCGCTGTAGCAATTTCACCTTCGAGAGATGTAGCTGCAGTGGTGCAAACAGAGCCAGGGAGAGAGCTGGTAAATCGAGTATGTGGATGATCAGGAGTTTGGTGCTTGGGTTCACTGCTTGATCTTCTTTTGCTGGACATATCCCTCTACACTGAATATATCCAGCTCCGGATACCAGCTTTGTGTTTTGGGCCCATCTGTCTGGTGTAATCATATTCAGAATATTTTGCTTTGATTTTTGAACTTCTTCTTTTTATTTATAGATGTAAATATATAAATAAAAGTAGGGCTTTTTCATGGTAAATTATACTTTGAATAAGTCAACAGGAAGCCCTGCTTTTCCTGATTTATGTTAAGAAATATGCGAGTAGTTCCTATTTAGCGCTTTTAGGAAAAATATGTCGCACAGTAAAACTCCTGACCACCGTATCATCTGCCATATAGGTGTATACTTTGCATTAGCCAAAATCCAGTCCTATCCCCTATTTCATCCAGTCCAGTTTTTCTGCAGAGTTCATGTTTCTCTCTGAGTACAATAACCATATCACTTCAGTTATTGCTGTCATAGCAAAGAGATCAGACACGCTCCCTGG